CAATTTAAAGTTTTATATTAATGCCTAAAACCCAGACATGCTTAGAATCAGATTGTCTTAGTAAACAGGTGTTAAATTTGATTGCACCATGTGACGTATTGTGATATATCACTGTTTTTTGCCTTTGTGAAGCTGGGGTGAGTATGGTCTGTATATGACACAACTGGCTCACAGTTTGACAGGCCTTTTCTTACTGGGTTTATCTATTATGAACCTCTCCAGCCTTTATATCCAAAGGACTGACCTTCTGAAGATGTTTTCACAATCTTAGGCTAACAGTGGGGGAAAGCCTTTCTTCCCCACTTCATTCAGACTATGAATATATTCATTTGGAAACTGCATTTGGAAACTGTAAAAATGTATTTGTTTCACCAAAGTTCTAATTGTTTGTTTGACTTGTTTTCATTTATTATATAGATTATATTACTAATTTTGATTCTAATTTCCTTTATGGGTTTTGTTTCTGTTAATCATTTTAGTACTTGCTTCAGTTGAAGGGTAAGTCACAAATTTCAGACATAACTTAACCACTTGTTGCATAACACAGCCTTTTCTAACCTAGTGCTGTCTAGAGGTTACAACTACAATTCTCAAATATATAATCAATTTAACTGAAAATTTCAGACATTGTAATCCCAAAACATCCATAGAGCACAAGGTTAAAGACCCAAACTGTTTAAAAGATACAATACAGTAGGTCAGTAAAGGATCAATTTTCATCCAAAAGCACACAAACAAATGAAGCAATCCTATGCCCTTAAGTGTGATTTCATTTCCTGTGTTTGTATAGTAAAAGCTAAATGCTTTATTTATGGACAGCTATTTCTTCAGTTTGCCACAAAAATTTTGTGAAACCAGACTGTGGGTTTAAATAATGAGTGAATATTATGCATGTCCTATGTTTCTAGAGTTTTGTTTTGATTTCTGGGAAACATCCTAAATTAGTATATAGCAGAGAAAGATATTTTCCAATTTACAAATATAGTGCTTGCTTGCACAGCACATATACTAAATTTACAAATATATATATAAAAACTGGAAGCAAAAAACACTTTATCTAACAATGCAATTATAAATGTTAAGTATTTTTATTTGTCAACTATTTCAATAGGTACCTCTTCCATAAGCAAGCAAAAGAAGGCAACTATTGTTTCCAAATAGTGTGAGAGAAAAAATAAATAAAACAATCTGTTCTTCTAATATTTTCTATTAGTTAAGGTCAGCAATTTCAATAATCTTTTTCTTTCAAATGAATTTCAATATACCATAGTACATAATTAAACTGAATATCTAATGAGGAAAAAATTAAAATCTACTAGTTCTTTTTCAGACAATAAATGTTAATTAAAGGCACAAGCTTTCAAGAACCACAGTTTGATTAGAATTTAAATGGGAATATATTGGAGGGAGGAAAAGGGAGGAGAAAATTGAGTGATGCAGATGCAGGTTATATATGACATTATAAATATCTAATCAATTAATAAATGTGATGTGTTAAATCACGTTCAATTTGTTGAGATTTTCTAAAAGGCTTGAAACTTTTTAATGTGAATAAGCTGAGTTCATTGATATAGTTTTATACAATTTTATGGGTTCTTGCAAGCAACTGAACCCTAGCTAAAGGTTCAAAAGTTTACCCATATAACATGTCATGACTTGAGACCAATATACATGTATTTATGTTACTTTCTGTTAGGGTCTATGACAGGGCTGTCAAACTCACACCATCATGGCAGCGTCATGTGATGTATTGGGTGTCAAGATTCCAGAAGTTGCCCTAAGAAATGTGCAAATATATAGACAAAAACCTAGCAAGAGAGTGTTTATTCAGTTAATAAATGAGGTGTTACACGAGCATCTCTATAAGGAGGTCCTTGTCTATTTGAATGACATTCTCATCTACACTGAGACCATGGATAACCACATATCCACAGCCATCTTGGTACAGGAAAATCACCACAGAAAACTTGATGCAGGACAACTGAAATCACTGACAGTTGCCGTACAGTGTCATCATCCCTGCTTGCCCCTCTCTCTGCTGGGCAGCATGCTGAAGGAGAGATCTGCAACACCAAGATGGATGTGGATGCCACCCACCCATGAGGGTCCACAGGGAAAAAGAAGCGGCTGAATGTGGAATAGGCAGAAGCCTTGCCTGGTGGCAGTAGGCTGGATGCCTCACTCTCTTGCAGTTAGCAATGTTGACACAGCAGATAGTCATGCAGAACAGACATGCTCTGATCTGACCGAGCAGATGTGCCCACGGAATGTCAGATCCAGAGATGTGGTCTGTCATGACACCATGGTCAATGGCTGCCTCCAGTGAAAGGAGGTGCTGCAGGAGGCCCATAGAGTTTTCCCATGGCAAGTTTCCCATGGCAATTTGTCCCGCACTAAGATGGCCACACCAAGGTCCATGGCAACATGGCCATGGCAAGCTGGTGGAGCTGAGATGACAGTGCCAAGATGTCCCATTCCATTTTCGATATGCCATCATTTCCCATATACTTTAGATACCACCTTTCCTTTTGTAATTATGCTAATTATGTAAATTATCAAGTGTTGAACCAAACCCTTCACTATATAGATGGCAATTTTTTGCAGCACTGGCCACAGGTTTATTATTATTTGTTGCACATTGGTACCGAAACGATTTCAGAGCATAGCATGACCCACCTGTGCAAGCTAAAGTGATTTTTAGCATTTTTAAATGTGCTAAGTATTTATTCATTATTTTTGCATTGTTTCCCACCAAAGATAAAAAAAAGTCATCACACCACTATTGCAGAAACTGAGTTTTGAGAAAATGTAAAAACAAAAACAAATTAACAATTATTCCACTGCATTCTACTTGATTTGTTTCTAGTTGGGGCCATGGTGGCTCATGTGGAAAGATGCTGGGCTTGCTCGGTGGCTCAATTCCCATGAGCGAATAAACTGCACAGGAACAGGAAAGGACCTCCCCTGAATACCTACTGGCATTTGAGCATCCCATGGGTAAAGATAACACCGCCCGAAAAAATTCCTTTCACAGAGGCAGGCAGCCACCTCGGTGATCCCTGGCTAACATGTGCCATATGCTAAATAAATAAATAAAATAATGTTTCTAGTAGGATTTTTTATGAACTTATTTTTAATATCATTTAAAGAAGCATCAATTTAATGTAAATTATCACATTGCAGAAACATGATGATTAAAAAAACCCAACAAATTAAATAATAATGGGATGGCATACAAGGGGACATTTGAGGGACCTTTTCCCACTTAAATCTCCCTGTTCTATCTGCTCCAACAGGAAATGCGTTTTGTAGGAGTTTAATCAGGCAGGACCTAGAAGGAAAACTAGTTCTGCCATGCCCCCATTCTGTGAAACATCATCCCCTCCCTATGCTGAGGCTGGTCCCAACCCTATCAGACTGCCAGAAAGCCCTAAAACTATGACAAAATGGAGCCTGCTAGATGGCTATATGGCAACTGAATGCAATTTTGCACATTTCAACACCATTCTCTTAATCTTGCTTTTATTTTATATTTTAACTTCAATTGGATGTTTTAATGATTTTATATATTTTGACTGTTTTATTTTGTATACTTCCCAGAGTTACTATGTGAATTGGCAGTTATACAAATGTGATTAAATAAATAAATGAATAATATGAACAATCAGCATTACTGGGGGGAAAGGGAGAGAGAAAAATAACTTTTAAAAAGCACACTGAAAGTTGATAAAAGAAATCATGGGCTTGTGGAATACTGTACACAGAAAAGTATTTTGCTTTGCAGATAGAAATCAGACTCCACAAATGTCCTTTTCTAGAGATCAAGACAACACAGTGTAATCCCAAATATGATTAACTCCTAAGAGTAAAAAAAAACTTGCAGTCCTTTGCCAGTTTTAAATATCTGAAAATAGATTCTCTTTGCCATAACTATTACCATTTATTCCAGTGTTGCCCAATAATGCAAGTATGCTGGTCACATTTAATTAATTCTAAAAATAGTATAATAAAAGGTATATTCCATTATTTTGAATTAGCATCAGCCCCTATCAACAGTTAATAATAAGAAATGATTGGAGTAGAAAATCCTTCAAAATTTAGTACATTAAATGTATTAACAGGAAGGACAGGATTGAAGCACCATAGGAAAAATGATCTCTTAACTGAGAGAAGAAGATAGACTGCTTCGATTTAAATGCCTGGGATTCAAAGTTAAGAAACAATATTTTGCAGGAACTGTCAGTATGCAAAAATGCAGGGTCTATCACATATTTCAAGAATGTAAAACTTCTTAAAATACCTGAACACCTGGTTTGGATTTCCTAAGCACCAAAAAAAAACAACAAAAAAAACACACACACACACACCCAAGCATATATTGGTAATCAATAGTTAATATAATTACATCACATCTTTAGTTTAAATGCTAAAGATTTGAATGTCATGTGAGTTACTTAATTTAATTGAGGCTTTAACATGGACCATGTCCCTGAGACTATAATTCTTAAATTACCAGCCAGTATATTCATGCAGCTGCAACACTTTAGACGCATTACTTTTTGTCTATTAGCCTAAACAGCTCAAGGAAACTCTTCCTCATCCTAGCACCTTCCCAATCTGCTGGGAACACATCTGGAAGGTGCCAAGTTGAGTTTGGTTCAAAGTTCACTTTCATTTTGAAAGGGAAGAATCTGAAAAAATGCCAGATGAATAAAGTAAATTATGAGTACCAGTCAAAGATGTGAAATGTCATCAGTTATGACTCTCTCTTTCTCTCTCCCATTCTCTCCTGTATGTATGTATGTATGTATGTATGTATGTATGTATGTATGTATGTATGCATGTATGTAGTTATTTAAACAGCACTTACTTTTAAGTAAGTATTCATAAAATTACATTCAAAATTCAATTTCATTGACTCCACTATGAATCATTCCTAAACTGTGTCCAGTGTTACTTTACTATTTAATATCTGGGGGAAAAATGGGAAAATGTCCTACCTGGTCTGTATTCACTGGTTCTCTTTTGTTTGCCTGTGGAACATGACAATTTTCTTTTGCAAATTTCTGGACAAGTTCGATGTGCCCAATATCTTCTCGTTCCTGAATCTTGCACATAACTCCTGCCTTCAGTGTTGGTGGAAAAGGAAAAAGATATTTAAATCCACAGTCCCAGGACATGACACTCACAAACTTTGAATTTCACCAAAATTTCATCTTCTCCATTTCACCCTCTGAATTGTTTCAATTTTATGCTGAGCAAACTGTTGTTTCTTGCTTATAAAAACAAAACGGGCACCAAACAAGTCACAGAATCTCCTCCTCCTATGTGATGCTATCTGTTCAACATAGCAGAGCCAATGCTGAACTAAGTAAGCTGCTGTTATGGATGCAGCTGATATGCAGGCAGTGCATTTGTTCCCGTCAACTTGTTTCCTGTTACATAAGAGAACCACAGTAAAAGTTACAAATTCATTGGAAAGTTAGCCAAGATCAGCCCTGGAAAAGAATGGAGAGCAAGAGAGTCCGTCATTCCTAAAAATAACAGCACAAGCTTCTATTTCACACACTCCACCCTTCTTTGTATGTATAACATATAACTATTAAAACATGTTAGATAAAAGAACAAAGGATATGTATATAAATTTGATTTTTGTTGTTTCAGACATGACAGTCTATAAAAATATTTTGCATGGAGATATTATCAAGTGTCTGTGAAAGATAATTAGCAGCATTTTGATATACTAATGTCTCTATGTGCATACAGACACAATTTAAGAATATAAAAGACATCAGGTGTCTTTTCATATTGATAGCATAGTGATAAAGAAATTGGACTTATTATCAAGATCCTCCAAATTCAAGTTACTCTCTAAAGTGCAGAGTTCATTGGGTGATTCTGATCAATTATTCTTTCTTAGCCAATCTCACTTCAGAAAGAATGAAGAGAAAACGTCACCCTAAACTTACCAAAAGGTAGAATATGAATGCAACAATCAATAAAACTGTTCCAGACGTTTTTCCCAAATGTAGTAATTTAAATCAGTTATGAGAAAGTAGTAAAATATGGGAATAATACTTAACTGCATTTAATTAAAAAATACATTTTGTTTCTGTCATGATCCTGTTTACTCTTTGAAGTATTACAGACTCCGAAAAACCAACTCAAAAATAAAGGTACCCTAAAGTTGGTGTGCCACCTTTTTGGGGAATCAAATGCCACATATGGATCTAGTAGTAAATCTTAATATGTCAGGTTTATGTTAAGTAGGACAAAGGGAGAAATCGAAACAATGCAGAATGAGCTTATTATAACTTGATGCCCAGCTTGCAATTATGACATCACAACATCATGGAGTCATGTGATTGCCACTTGCAACCTTTTCTGCCAACTTCCAACAAGCAAAGTAAATGGGGAAACCAACAGGAGGTCTCAAGCAGGAACTACACCTACATGACTACATGACCTTGGTAACTGGCAATAATTCCCTTAATGACAGCAGCCAGAAGTGCAGTGATTTCTAAGCTCCAGTCATGTCGTGTTTTATTACCACATCATGTAGCAACAAAACTCCAGTCCAAATTACCATTGATAAATGAAGATTATCTGTGTGTTCTAAGTGAAAATTTAAATATCTTTATTATGAAGTGAAAAAATGAATGTTTTAAACAGATTTTCCACAAGTTCATTTCCTACAAACTTACATTTATCCATTACTAGCTCTATACCCATGCTTCTCTATGAAACTTTGTGATCGGGCTTAGTTTTGGGGGAGGAAAATAAGGGGGGGGGGAATGTGCCTCTGCCTACCAGCATCATCAATCGGTATTCATTTGGCTAGCGTTCAGTCAGTGTTTGAGAGAGTTGAAGGCTGTTTGGAAACTGAAACAGTATTTGCTGTGTGAACAAGGAGATAGCCTGGACATGTTCTGTACTAAAGCTGCTTGGTGCTCTGAAACTGAAACTGAAATTCCTCTCCTCTGCTTGTGTTTTGAATTTGGAACAGATTTCTTTTCAGGTGGGGAGGGAAAATAGAACTCCTTAGCATCAGAGTATATTATTATTAATAATAATAATATATGAAATACTAATTGTCTGATGGTCATTTCAAGAAATCCTTTCTTAGTGAGCATCTAGAAGCCAAGAGGAACACACGTACCAAATTTCAAGTTTGTAGGCTTCACGGTTCTGGAGATTTTGTAATGATACGTGAGTGGTATTTTGTTTTTATATATATAGATTTACTTATCCTGCTTTTAATCACCAATTATATCATAATAAAAATTGAATGGATTCTGTGGCTGAAGGAGAGGGTCTGGCCCAAAGTCACCTAATTGCATGATCATGAATGTACACTTTAATTATACTCAACAAACTGGATGTCTAACAATCTGTGAAGAACACTTGAAACAGCACAGGTTTCTCTCTCCCCCAATTTTCTTACCTCATCTTTATTATTCTTATAACTAACAAAAGGCAGTGAACATACCTAATACTCCTTCCTCCTCCTATTTTCCCCCATAACAACAATCATGTGACATGATTGGGCTGAAGAAGTGTCTAGTCCAAAATGTTTATGTTTTATTAAATAAATCAGAATTGATTAGCTTGGTGAATCAGGCTATACCAGGAGGTGTCAAACTCAAGGCCCACGGGCCGGATCCAGCCTGCAATGTGGTTGGATCCAGCCCCCAGGGCCGTCCTAGTCTACCTAATGTGAAGAGGAAAGATCGGGCCAGCCTGGCTTTGGACTGGTCTATCCAATGTAAAGAGGAAACATGCCAGCAGTTTGGAGAGTGGCATCAAACTAGCCATGTCTACCCATTTGGCCATGCCCACCTGGCCCCTCAAGATCACACAATGAAATTGAGTTTGACACTTCTGGGCTATACCACTAACTACAATAGTTTAGCGTTAGTATTGTTCTGTCAGGTAAGACACTCCAAGACATAATGAGAAATTTAGAGAAGCAAGAAAATTGTTAGGATTCTGATTCATACTTGGCAACCAATAAAATCTACTGCCTTATTGAACAGAATGATTATATACACAATTGGTAAATTAATACATTGTAAGCAGTGTTCAATAATAATTTTGTTTACAGGAAAAATATATTCATTAGTGCTACCAAATGGTCAAATATGCAAATTAATACATGGTCTTGTGTGGACTTATCTGTTTCATTTCAGTTCAACACACCCAATAATTTCTTTAAAATAAAAAAAATGGGGTATTAGTTAATATGCATGTTACCAAATTTGCAAATGTCCAAAGTAGTTTTCAAACCAATTAAATGTCTGGATTGAGATACTTTTGTTTCCTATAATTCACTCACATAATCTTATTACCATGCTGCTTATTAGAGCAAATGAATGCTTAATGAATTTCTTTGTTTTTAAATCTCAAACAACAAAGCCTTGAAACGGCATTTAAATAAACTCAACATGGACAACAAAAAGAACCAACCTAATGGTATGGACATGACGTGCAACCAAATGATAAATATGTCACCTGCTCTGTAGTAAATATTATAAATATATTATAAATATAATATATTCATTTATATATTGAAATGAATAGCATGCTAATGTTATTTATAGTTTTCCTAATACAGCTATTCCACTTTTGCCCTTTCTGGATAAATTGGTGGAAGCGTTGGACTAACACAATTGAAAGCCACCAGATATAAGGATTATGGTAACATTTGGGTAGCTAAACAGGATCTTGCAAAAGATCCTATCTATTTTCCCATATGGAGCAAACAGAAGAAAGGGATTAAATTTAGAAAGATGTATTTATTTATTCATATATTCAATTTATATGGCCACTTAGTTGACTTGCAATTTGGGGTGCATACATATTAAACCAACTAATTAAAAAACTTATTAAAATATACTCATCATTACATATGATGACCAAACAGTTAAGCTACCTTCTACCAGTAGTGACAACTTCACAGGTAGTATTTACCCAAAACAGAAACAGTCAACACAGTCCATTATGTGTCAGGTTTGATCTTATAAAATTTTACTGCAATTACTATTAGCTTTCTTCAAACAACATGAGCCAACTCCCATAACAGTTAGTTAATGTGGCCTAATCCACCCCATCTGTTATCTCAATTCAACATCAAGTAGAAGGCAGCTATCATTTATCAAATAACGAAGGAGGTAAATTTGTTTCCATTTTATTGAATTTTAAACAGTCAACAGGGGAAATCATCCATATCCTCAAGGGCTAGGTTGCCAAATCCTTTAATTCAAAAGCACATCTTAATTAGTGATAGAGTCAGCCTGCTACAAGAAAATAAATGCAATAAGATTTGAAGAAGGAATTTTAAAAAATACTGCTAAACTGACAATTAACAAAATGTCTCATTTTTCTCTTCCCAATTTTTTAAAATAATGTTCTTATTAAGCAGGGTAGGATAAATTCCAGAAAAATAGCTGTGATATAATTTTTTGTATTAATGGACAAGTAACTTCCATCTTGCAACAGAAAAGCACTGTCCACTTGATAGGGACATATTTTTTCACCTTCTACTCAATATCAAACTATATCTCAATACTAACTAAGCAAAATGTGTTTCTTGAGCACAAGTTTCCAGACTGGACCAAATGTTAAATTCCTTTTCAAGAATTAGACTAGAAACCATTATCTTTTTACTTGTGGTGCTATGAAGATTTAATCTTTGCATTTCCTATAACACCTGTAAATAATATTGCCCCAAAATAATGTATTTAATTCAGTCATACTCATTTTAATCCAAGAAAATAGAATATGACAATACTACAAATTGATCTAAAAGGATAAATGTAGAAGTGTAACCACACACCTGATTTTCAGAAGGTTTGACCCTTAAATAGCAGAAAGTCCCAAACAAAACCATGTAATTTTGCATATTATATATTGTATAGCTGGGTTGTGAGTTAGTTATAAGTATTAGCAATGACATTTGTAAAAAAGAGGATCCCCAATCTCTATCATGCATGAATAATTATTTTCTACCTGTGCATCACAGATATCCTTTGGGGTTTTTTGCACTGTTGCCTCTCCACTGCAGATGTCATAACTTTGATTCATTGCTAAAGAAAAAGAAAACAAGATACATATAAGAGCTTCTAACAGGAACTATGAAAACTAACATTGTATCTATATACCTGCCAGCAACTTTAAAAGCAACTTCTTACTACAACATTCAATATAATTCACAATCTTCAATAAATATTTTTATTTACAATGTAACCATCATAAATGTGAGTGAGTTGCCAAGCATCCAAATGTAAATCACATAACCACGAGGATGTTACATTGGTCATAAGTGTGAAAAATGGTCATGTCACTTTTTTCAGTAATGGTGTAACTTTGAACAGTCAACTAAGCGAACTGCTGTAAGTCAAGGACTATCTGCACTATCCAATGAGCTTCACAGCTTCATCCCTTTCTACAATAAAAGACAAGCTTTCTGGGTCCTACTCTAACATTCTAATCATTACAGAGATTGCTGACTACATAAAGACACATACTTTATGTAGTTAGTTAGCAATAAAGAGTGCTAACCATAGCAGAATACTAGCATACTGATATAGTTCACACATTAAATTAAGCTACAAACATCCTTTCCAAGCTACAATGACTTCATCACTCAATGTTCTATATCAAACGAAGTACATTATGGTATAATGTAATGTTCTAACTCATTCATAAAGTGCCCCTTCTTATTCACACTTCCACCATAATTTTTTAAAATTCTAGACAATTTCTCTGATGACCTATACTAATGATAGATTTTAATAAAAAATAAAGTAAATTCAGTCCTTTCGACCATGTATTTTCCCATTGTTCTATTTCATTTTTTAACCAAATTTTTTTATTATACACTTTCACTTCTTGTTTTTCTGTTCCAAATATTAGTTTACATATTTTAGTAAGTACATATTCGTTATCTGTACATAGCTTTACTTCAAACTCAGCCTTACAATGTTCAAAACTACAAATTCTTTTTACTTTCAATTAGAGAATTTTACAAATTAATATACAATCAAAATTGGAGACATTTGGGGGGAAATAGATGAAAAAGTCATGGACTTTTGCTTTTATATAATGTTCATAAATGCACTGACATTATAAAATGCAAAATATGTAAAAAAAAGTTACTAAAAACAATGAATAGTTGAATTTAACCAAATTGACTACTTTGATCAGAGAAAAGGAAGTTTATTGCTGACATGAAAAATTTTACAGACTTTTTGAATGAAACAGACAAAAATAAATGTATAATTTATAGTTTTGATTATTGGAAAGAATGTAGAAAACAGAGTTATTTTGCAATCATAGAGCAAGTATTAATTTATAATTGTAATAACTGCTCTAAGGAAAATCGGAAATGACTACTTGTCTTTTTTGCTTTCAAACTTTCAGTTCCTTCTTTGATTTTGTTTATCCTTTTCTTTTTCTTATTCTATAAGAGTTAAATTTTCTTAAATTTTTAAATAATATATGAGTGCATGTATTTCTCTCTCTCTGTGTGTGACTCTTTCTCTTTCTTTCTTTCTCTCTCTCCCTCTCTCCCCCCTCCTTCCCTCTCTGTGTGTTTGTGTGCATGTGTGCACACACATGGGTATAAAAGGGAAGTGGTACAAAGTGCAGCCTATCAAAATCAGTTAGTCTAAGAATTATTTTCTAAGATTCTGAATATACTGTATGTGGAAAATAAAGCAGTTATACAGCTTGAATTCTAAACAAGTCCAGGTTCCTTTTCTGCATATACAAGAAGACATGAGCACATATGTAGATATTCATGGGAAATTATTGAATATATAGATATCTATCTCCATTGTAAAACCCCTTTTTCAGGATTATTGTAATGGTTGCTGAATGAGCGTTCAATAAGCGAGCACTATTTGTACTCCAATCATGTCTCATTTGTAGCCTAAGTTGTCAAAAAAATAATAATAATGAATTTTGGCAATTTGATCCTTTTTCATTTTTTTACTTCAAAATTGCAAATGTGCTCCTATCTTTAAACCACACTCCAAATGACTCACATATAATATTTCAGACTAATTTTGGCCCAGGTTTGATTAATACAGGTAAATATAAATATGGGAAAACTCTGACCAGCGAAATCTTCTCTTCAGTAGCCCATAAAATGCCCCTCAAATTGTTTCAAAATCTTGATTTTCACAAACATTGAAAATTTGAATATTCTAGAAAACTTTGGCTGTAGCAATGCTTGAGAATCTTTGGGTTGTAATAAGACTTCCAATAGAAATGACTATTATAGCAACTGAAAGAATCTGCTCATTCCCTTGTTTAAAACAAAAGAAGGTATTTTTATAATTGGAATACAAAAACTATATAGAGCCATACATCAGTTCAATAATGCCAAAGAACAAAGAATCCAGTCAGTTTTATTACAGACACACCTTGTTTATTATACCTATATATTTTTTGCTTTATCCATGTAATAAGGCTGAGCTCCATGAATAAATGAAGGGTAGAATGTTAAGCAACATCAGTTTGCTGAAGTATAATTTCAAATGCATTCATATTCCCATAAGCCTAAGGAATTTAGGATGATTTTTTAATAGCCACTTAAGAGATCAGGACGCTATGCCTTGTTTTTATTTCATTATTCCCTTGTGGGCAGCAAGAAGCATTTTCCTTAAAGATTTTTAACATAAAACAAGTAATGAAACAAGATTTTTAACATAAAACAAGTAATGGTTTTCTCAAAAAGAGTCTAGATATACTTTACTAACAAAATGGATTACTATTCTTGCTAAGCAAGGTTTGTTTAATTTCTTCAATAAGAATAGTGTTCTCTATCCTTAATGGAAGATTCACTTAAGACGCATGATATGTTTTTTTCCAGTTAAAATGAAGATTACTTCATAGTAATTCCATTATAGACTTTTATTGGTTTACCAGAAAAAAATCCTATGCCAAATTGAAAGCTATGCAAAACAGAACTGAAATTAAATTTACTTCCACAAGATGGCTTACAATGGATTTAAAGAAGAAATATGCCATTGTCTATTATCAGAATTGGCTGCAGTACATTTGAGGAAAAACTTGAATTATGAAGGCTATCTTTGATAAGTTTATGTACAGATCATAGTCCTAAAGGTGCTTTTCAAGATTTTGTTTAAATGTTAGGATTAAAGACCCTGAATAGAAATTATGGATGCTACCACTAACAGTTATGAAAGCATAGAGGAATTTTTAGCAGAAACAGTAACTTGGAACCGAATGCATGAAAAATGTATACTCAGGTGCAATATTACGGTACACAAGAGACAGTTATTATAAAAGGAATATTTTAGTGTATTGGGTATTTTCACTCAAGAACAGGATATGTTTCTCTAAGTATTTATTTATCTCAGTATTAAAATTTAATTCATAGTATTTGGTTCTCCTACAATGGCCTTCCCTAACATCACTATGCAGATAAACTGCATTGGGAAGATATCAGGTTGGAAAACACAATTCTGCTATATTGTACAGAAATGAATTTTTAAATTTATTACTATAGACTTCAGAGATAAATTTTTAAACACAGACTAATTACTTGTATCCTATATATTCTTAAACCAAACAGAATGGAACAATATAACCAAGGAAAGTGTCAACTTCCTTTCTTTAAGTTTTACAGAGTGAACATTTAATATAAATGCTAACTACTTTGTAAAGCTCATAATAAAATGACAGACAAATCAATTGTTGGAAACGTTAATTGGAGAAAGCTTCCCTTCACTGACTCAAACAGGAAAAGAACTCAAAGTTTTAAAGAAGATAACAGCTTTTTCCAATGTTGCATATTCTGAACGTGTTGGATTACAAAATTCACAGCTAGCATGGAGACAAACTTATCCAGAAAGCACCAGGTTGTGTAAACTGAACTTTCCAAGTATTCTATAGCTCAAATTTTATGTAGTCCTGAATAAAAACATGGGAAAGTATCTCATTTCCCACCAGTCATATCAAATGTTTATCTTACGCATTACACTCAATATTAAAGCATCAAACAAATATTAACTGGAAAACTGTATTTATCACACTGCTTCCAAACACCATTAACAATCCAAACAGAAAATGGTTTTGCTTTGAAAATAGAGAAGCAGAAGATGGTTAAATGGAAATGGAAAACAAGATTTCTGGATTAGCATCATTCATTAGTTGAATGGTCATCTTTCATCTCAAGTTTTCATATTTTTAAAATTAATAATTGTGTCCAAAGTATCGATAATACTCAAATCCTCAATTTACAACCCTTAGTTCAGCAACTATTCAAAATCATGATGGCACTGAACAAATGGATTTACAACCTGCACAGGAAGTTTCTCAGATATGTACCCCAAATGACTTAAAAGCCTGAGGTTTTTACCACAATCATAGTACTAACATTATTTCTTTCATATATTTTTTAATTATTTAATATTTATTTTTATCAGTAATGTATATTATATTACACTAGCTCGATACCTGTGCTTCGCTATGAAACTATATGGTTGGGCTTAGTTTTGGGGGCAGAAAATAAGAGGGGTGATTCTGCCCCAGCATATATCAATATTCATCTGGCTAGCGTCCTGACAGTGTGTGAGGCTGTTTGGAAACTGAAACAGTATTTGCTGTGTGAGCAAGGAGAGACAGCAAGGAGCCTGGGCATGGCTTAGCTCAACTGTTTTGTACTAAAGCTGCTTGGTGCTGTGAAACTAAAACTGAAACTCCTCTCCTCTGCTTGTGTTTTGCATTTGGAACAGAATTCTTTTCAGGTGGGGAGGGGGTGTAGAACTCCTTAGCATCAGTGCGTGTTAATAATAATAATATACAAAATACTAATGCTCTGATGGTCATTTTGAAAAACCCTTTGTTAGCGAGCATCTAGAAGCCAAAAGGAACACGTTTCAAGTTTGTAGGCTTTACGGTTCTGGAGATTTTGTGATGATATTTCACTTTTACATATAGATATCGATATATACATTATAAACAAATATTTTAATGAATTGTGATTTCAACTGCAATGGCATTTGCTTGATTTGAAAAATTGACAATATGAGATATTATGTAATGTAATTGTAATTGAGACCACGAAATGGATGCCCAAAAAATTGGTAAACCAACCGATACACTGTTTTTATATTTATGAAAGAAAGTTGGATGTTTTTATGTTTTGTCTGTTTTGTTTGTCTTTAAAAATCAATAAAATTGTTTTCAAAAAAAAAAAAAAGGAAAGAAAAACCTCTTTGTTCTCTCATAGGTTTTTTGGCTAAAATTTTCTTTATAAATTCTCTAAAACATAATGAATTCTTACTTCAGTTCTCCCTATCCTGTCATCTTCCAGATATCTTGGGATATAACTCAAATTAGACAGCTGAAGGGATTTTAGAAATTACCATCAGAGAATATATCACAGCACTAGCTTGAGAAGGCTCTGTTATAGGGGCTGGGAGGGCACTGTCTTTTGTTCTTTCAAGGAATACAGAAATTTGTTTCTAAATGTAACTGGTACAAATAACACATGGGAACAGGGATAGAACAAGCTGCTCGTTCTCTTTAGTTTTCACCTTATTGTGAAATGAGCATTGCTTTTATGTATCCATTTCAAATTTTTAATAGCTTTTCCTTTGAAAACCTGTTCTATTTCAATGACTTTACATGAGATTAGAAGAGATCCTGTTCTTCATAGATAAGAAAAGGTTCTCCCAGTAACAAATATTCCAGAGCTCCCCACTTTGGGCAATTTCTACAAATATTTTAAATATTTGACAATTTTGAATATACTTTGGATCCTAGATAAGCTGCTTAATAAAAATAAACGTCACCTTCAAAACTAAAACATATATTTCAAATTAAGACAATGTATTAATTTATAAAGTATAAAGAATAAATCAATATCCTTGATTTACAACCAGTCCCTGATTTACATCCTTTTGAAATTACAACAGCATTGAAAAATGTGACATGTCCATTGTTCACACTTACAACCATTGTATCATCCCTAAGGTCACGTGATCAAAATTTCAATATTGGGCAACATATTTATGAGTTGCAGTGTCCTGAGATTATGTGACCACTTTTTTTAACCTTCTGACAAAGTAAATGAGGAAGCCAGATTCACTTTACAACCATGTTGTTCACTTAACAGCTGCAGTGGTAAGAGATTTATTGAATAGTCATAAGACCTTATCAGTAACATAACATAAATATATAACAAGACAAATACAGATAAGTTAGATGTATAAAAATACAATAATAAAAACATGTGTGGGAAACCAGGGAGTCAAAAATCGGATAATAGATCACCCTTGCAGGATACACCAATTTGTTCAATATATTGGGTTCTTAGGACCGCTGCCTTGATTATAAACTTAGCAGTCCTATGGACGATGTGTACATTAGAGGCCCGGAGGAAATATAACAATCTGTGGTTTGATTCCCAATGGGCTGTTCTTTCCAGTAGAAACGATAAATATTTAAGCCTAAAGGGGGCATATATTTGGCAGTTGAACAAGATGTGGGAAATATCTTCAATGGCAGATGAACCACATAAGCAGGTTCTCTAGTGGTATTGTACATGGTGAAAGCACCCATGTCTGGACATGGAATCCAGTAACTCAAATCTAGCTCTGGTATAGACTCTTCTCTGTAATTGTGGCATACCCATTGAAAGGTATTTTTCAGGTTGGAAGATGTTTTTATTCTTAGCCAACCATCTTATAGATCTGTTTTTTGCTAATAATTCTATGTCAGTCTGGGCACTAATATCCAAGACTCTCTGGTTAAAAATTTCCCTTGCCTGGGAAGTCCTTGTCAATAAATATTGAGTAGAAAACCCATGTCTTAAGATGGCTCTGTGGACCTCTTACTTACTTACTCACTTAACAACGGCAGTGATTCACTTAACTGTGGCAAGAAAGTTGTAAAATGGGGCAAAACTCATTTAAGAACTGTCTCACTTAGCCACAGAAATTTTGAGCTCAATTCTAGCTGTAAGCTGAGGACTACCTATAATACATCAAGTAAATATCAATTGGCTGAATATAAAATGAAAAATGTCTGACATAATTCATATATATCAGATATCAACAATATTTCTTGTCAAATTCAGATAATCAATTCTAGTTTTTCTTTCTCTAATTATATTTTTAAAATGTTGTACTTAGTCAAAAAATTGGTATATTCACCTGATTTTCTTGCTTTCACAGCAAGAACAGCTGCCAGTTCTCTCTGCACCTAGCACATCAAGAAAATTGTGTTATAAATATGCTGATGGAATACATATATAAATTTATTTTACTAGTTATGTTGTTTACAATGAAACTCCCAGAGTTTGTCTACTGCCTATACAAGGAACAGTAATATAAACAGATGGAATTTTCTCTTTCCAGCATCCTAAATTTAATACCAGAATGGAGTTCAGCTTCAAGCCTAATTATATTTATTGAAATGTATGCTCCGCTGAATGCAATGGAGCTGAACTATAGCATTAATTAAATGCTATAGGTATTAGCTTCATGAAAAAAGTATTTTAACTTCAGCAAGATTATAACAAAGCTATAAGTCTAAAAAAATTGGGTAGGATGTTGGGAAAATATATAATTTTCATTACATTTGGCACATAGAGTTCCCTCATTTCATCAAACGTCTTCCCAGAAGTCACTTATCAACAAACTCGATTAAGCCAGGGTAATATACAGTATATATACACACACCCTTTTAGAAGTTTCCTGACCTACTAGCATCATTCATTGCCTTATGTACAACTTTTACATATTATTTTAACTAACTGAAATAAACTACCTTTGACCAAAAGTGCACCCTTTGCAGTTATTTCCTGCACTTGAACTAAGTTGGCATTATTCAACACAGCTGTTCTCATTCAACAGTTCCTCGCCCTTCCATTGTTTGGAGAGAACATGCATTTCCTTTATTTACAGGTTTCAGTCTGACTCATCAAGAAATAAGTACTTAGAAAAAATTGTACATAACCAAAAGTAGACCCTGAGCTGGAGAAAGAAAGAAGTGACAAGATTAAGTTGAAAAGCCATATCACTCACACAGGCATATATTAGTTATACATTACACCTTTATTTTACTTTATGCAGCTACAATTCAATTAATATTTTACATTTAAATATTATTATTGGTTAACAGTGCTTAACTTAGAAAATTACTAAATGCTTTTGGTAAGCTCAATCTATTGATTCCATATAACTCTAACCCTAAACAAATAAATGCATTTTTACTTTATTTATACATTATACATTGTATATTTGTATATTACCCATTCCCTGATGATTCTGGGCAGCTTTTAATCAAAAATACCACCAAGCAAAATCCATCCTCAAAAATATTAATAAAACTCTCCCATAAAACAAACTAAAAACAGCATTAAAATATAGCAAAAGAAAGATGTAGACGTTGAAACACAGCATGCAGTTTGGATAGAATAATCATGCCTTAATTGCTTTTCTGGACTCTGAAAGAGGAGCACCCTAAAAGAAGGGAAGGAGAAAGTATGGGATAGCCATACCCTCCAGAACTTCAAGTTGCTGAGTTTCTCAGTTAACCAAAGATCCATGAGAAGGAAGTTACTGCAGTCTGGTCAAACACCTTAGTCGTCCCTTTAACTAATGATTATGGTCTCAATCAAACTGCCCATCAGAATGTAAGTCGCTAAGCACCTTCTGAAAAACCAATAAGTATCTGGGATAGACTGATCCAACAGATTCTTCCTCACAGCAGAGAGAGTTATGCATTAAACTCCACAGCCATTAGTTCCTATACACTGACCTCTCCTCCAGGTTTTTGAAATATAACCCAGTGATCACATCCTATCACAATTAAATGGTGGGTGAGGATTTTTTTTTTTTACAGACAAACCTAGTGATTTTTTACAGACAAACCTAGTAAGAGAAAAGCAGGCAGTTAGGGGGCAGAATTAAATATGTCATCAGCTTAAGAGTCATTACATTTCCATAAATGGTCCAAGTTCAACCACTCCTAATTCTGTTGACTCTTATCTGGCACCAGCTTAACACTGATCTTTAGTTGACCAGATACTTGTGAATAGGCTTGAATAAGTTTTCTGTGCCACTACTTAAGGAATGATTCCGATCCTTTGCAACTGGCAAGCCAGAATCCCTGGTTCTTGTGAAGAAGACTAAGAACCTGAAGGAGGGGATTAGTAAGAGCTACCACACCCTCCTTCTCCAATGGTAGCCTGCTCTCAGTATTCCATTTTACCACTTAGTGCCAACTATAATCTCATTTCACTCATTTCTCATTTCACAAAAGTCCATCCTGGACTGCATCACCCCCTATAGCCCAAAAATCTCTGCCATCTAGTACCAGGACCAAATCAGTCAAAATATTTCCAGAATTTGAAGCCCTTCAATCTGGTTTCTAACTCCACTTCCACCTATTCCCCTGTGCTATTCTCATTCAAAATTCAAATGACAGTGGTAATCCTAATGTCACCCAGGTACAGCCCTCTGACTCCAAACCAAACTCCAATCCTAAAGATGACCTTTTGAGATTTTTACTGAGAAGACATAACGACTAAAGCCAACAGAAATCAAAGTCTTTGCTGTCAATATCTGCACTCTTATGAATCCTGTCAGTGTTTATAAGACTCACTCAGCATACAACTGTTCTGAAACAACTTTCAGAGCAACCTGAATGTCACAGTGTTTTCCTAGAGTAGAGACCAACTGAAGAAAGCAACCAGTATCTCAGACTTTCTATAATCAAGACAAAGCCTTCTTAGGAGTACCATCTGTTGACCATCTATAGATACAAAAAAAAAAAAGAGAGAGAGAGAGATAAAATGGCAGCCACCAGTCCAAAACCATTAACCTCAGGAAACATTCATAGCCAAGTGGTGCTCTAAATCTGGGCCATAGCACTGCACAGTTCTCCAAACATCATTAATGGCTTCTGCTGATCTGTTTCCCTCTTTCCATCTCACAATTTATTTCTAATAGCTTGCAGCTGGCAAAATTGTTATCTTACAACGTGCCTTAATGATTTAGCTTTTTCCTTCTGTTTCTATGTGCCTGATGTCTTGGATGTGTAAAATCAGCCTGAGAAGTATCAAGGAGCAGTCCATCATGGTTGCCATTTTATTATTAATAAATTTACTATTTAATCATCTTCTAAACATTTAGATTTTATCATGCAGTAGCATTGCTTTACTGATTATAAAGATCAACTGGAGACTGCTATGCCGAACATGCCATGAAAGACCACTACATGGTTCTTCAGATTTTGTTGAGCTTCAGTTTAAATCTGTTCTTGCAATAGCAATAGCACTGATACTTATATTCCACCTCACACTGCTTTTACAGCCCTCTCTAAGTGGTTGCACAGAGTCAACATATTGCCCCCAACAATCTGGGTCCTCATTTTACCCACCTCAGAAGGATGGAAGGCTGAATCCACCTTGAGCCTGTTAAGATTCAAACTGCCAAATTGCAGGCAGCCAGCAGTCAACAGAAATTGCCTGCAGTATTGCATTCTAACCACTGTGCCACCATAGTTCTTAATTATAGCAAAATGTGAGGAATTGTCGAACTTGAAACCCAACAATACCTGATGAACTACTTTACCAGTTTCTGATTTATAAAATAGTATTCTGTTAAGAAATATAAGTGCCAGGGCAGTGTCACCTCCTCTTCCCTAACATTCCTTCTCAGGCTGATATGAAAGCAGTTCCCTAATTGTATTCAATGTACTGATTAGCATAATGCAATGTTTTTGTAATGTAGTGTAATGCATATTTTTCAGATTCAGCAATTTTACAATGTATAGACTTCAGTTCCCAGAATTCCAAAACCAGGATTCTGACTGAAAAATTTTGGAACCTGAATCCACATATCTTAAACTTGCCAAGTTTATAAAACACTGTTCTATTGAGCAATTTCTGATCCATTTTGGACAAAAACTGCATGATCAGTTTTTCAGTATTTAATTTTTCTGCCTAATTCTGGCATAAATATCCATGACAGGAATAAGAAATGAGCTATATTCTCCAGATCTTTAAGTCTAGACGCCTCCAGATCTCTGATAAGTGCTCATTATACTGCCTATTTTGCTGCTATCTATTCCAAACATAAAGGTTTCTTCTGCATAATTTATTTTTAGTTTTATAATGTGATTACAGTTTATTCCCTTACCTTTTATGAAGAAAATTTCATTCTCAATTGGTTCAATTTTATTTTAAAATATTTATATCTAGTTTTTTCTTTCATATTAGGATTAAAATATACATTTAACAAAGACAGGACTCAAGTTTTAGTTTTTTAAAAATGAAAGGGTGGCAAGATAAGCATTAATGGGCAAAATTGGCAGGACTATCTCTTTAATTAAATTACAAAATAAAGTGTTTATCTGATGCATTAAGGAGAAACGTCTGCAATACTTCATTCTGTTAACAAGACAGATCTAGCAATAAAAATAAACAATTCACTGTACATGCTAAGCAAAAAAACAATGTGTTTGAAAGCTATCTAAAATCAAAGAGATTGTTATAAGCATGTTTAAAAATAAGTACTACAATTTCTATCAGCACCAGCATGACTGATCAACTATCAGGGATGAAGGGCACTATAATCCAAAAGAGCTGGAAGATATGAGGGTAAAAGCTATTTATGAAAGTTAAACACATTCTCCTGTGCACATGGCTTCTAATGCTGCCAATTAATGAACAGAAAAAATTGTACCTGTTTTAAACAATTTTTTTAAGTGTATCCTTTTTACAAGCTTAGGATATTCTTTACTCTTTCTGTTGGGGTTTTACTTATATATGCCCTCGGTTGTTAAATGGGTTTGCATGGAACAAGTGCTGAATTATTAACCTTTATTTCAGTTGAAATTAAATGAACAGTACAGCAGAAATAATGGCCTGTAGGAATCATTTTCAAATTGTCTTGGTCTAATTCTTGGTATTAAATATTTATCTTCATATGGATAGGAATCTGAATTAATAGTTTGATGTCTGATTTTCCTGCACACTCTTCTGGAGAGAGTGCTGCCAATTGAAGATATTTTGGGAGCTTGGGATCTTAAAGTCAGAATTGGTGAAGATGTTCCAGGCTAAGGCAGACCAGTTGTACGTGCCCAGTTCTTCTAACTGGCTTGAATTCAGGGGACCTTTGAAAGAAATCTCTCAGCAATGCCTTAAATACTCTAAACAAGTATTTTATATTCTATTATTAGAATATTATTACACGTATTTTATATTCTATTATTCAAAGATATCTCCCAACTTCAGTAATATCTCTTACTGTCCAAACACACATCTCTGAAACAGTTTCAGAACTTCTCCTGTTAATAGCTTGCTATTGATAACTTTATTAGAAATTCAAATCAAAATACGTCCATGCTTTTTAATACTCTTGCTTTGCATTTTAGCTACATTTACCCTAACTGAGTTTCTTGATTTTAATAACTAGCACTCTTCTACAAGTAATATTAATTGCTGTTGTTGTTGCTTTTCCCACTGCTAATAGTAGTGGAGGATTTACAGTCCAGATACAAATACAAGAAACCTTTGTTTATGAACTAATTAAAATCATCCCACAAATTAATCTTTAAGAAAGGCTTACTGCTGCTGTGAGACGAGCAAGAATTTCTGCATTGGTTTCAGTTGTTTCTTCTATTCTTCTGTTATCCCTTTTGAAACAAAAAGCAAATAAAAGCTCATGGTACATCTGAGATGTAAGATTGGTCTGAATCCCCTGAAGGCACAGGGAAACAGGGAATTAGACTGTTATGACCAAGACATAATCCCTAGGTTTGCCTATGTTATCTCTCTGCTATGCAAACTCCACTGGCTCTAACTTTCCTTCCAGGTCCTGGTTATCATCTTTAAAACCCCACACAGGGTCAGTTTATCTGCTTGAACACTTCTTCCTAAGAACATACGTCCATTCTACCAGATAACATAGATGGGCACGCTCCTAATCCCTTCCCATATTATTATGGGAATACCATATTATGGGAACGAGGAAGTATGCCTTTTTCATAGCAGCCCTTGCCCTGTATGATATCCTTCCTTTTGAGGTTTGGCAGGCCTTTACCCTCCTAGCCTTCCAAAAACCTCTGAAGATCTGGCTTTCCCATATGTGCTGGGATGAAATGTGGTGGATGAGAGGATTTTATGAGGAACTCTATGTTGAAAATTAACTTTTATAGTAGAGGTTTTTTTAATGTTTATGGTTTTAATATATTTATATATTATATTATATTATTTTGTTATTGGTATTTTAATTGCTGATTGGAAACCACCCAGAGTTCGATATAAGATGGGTGGCTATATAAAACTTTTTTAACTAAATAATATAAATGATTAAAATGTTCCTAACACTAGTAGAACTAAATGCCTTTATTTTTACCAAATATGTTTATACTAAGAAAATATAATGTTATAGATTTGTTATTAAGTTTCCTGGAATGACGTACTGAACAGCAACTTCAATTTAAGAATGGCACCCTAAGGAAATAAACTCTTTAGTTTAATGTAAAGGAAGAAGAATTAAAGTTATGAACCTCAGTTATTAGCTTCTTGTGATCAACAGATGGAATCAAGAAAGCCACTGACTTTGCCTCCAATGGGTGGGTACATGACATAAAATACAAGGAACCCACCAGATCACTGTGTCTGATGTTTTAATCTCAGTTTCTCCCATCAGTAAGTTTCTTACAATATAAGATTTCTTTTAAATCTCATGTTCTGCTGTCCTATTTGTCACTACCCACTGATTATTTTAACAGTCCTGCTTTTTAATTTATCATTATTTTAAAGTAGCATGATGTGATAAAGTTCATATGTTGTCCTAACTCATAGATTCTTTAATCAAGATTGTTAAATAATCACAATAATACAGATTTATATTATGGTGGTGATAGCTGAGATCACAGGTCAAATTAAGCCAAAACTAAACAGCCTCGATTATGACATTAGTGCTATCTGTATAGATAATATACATTGGGTTTGGTGTTTTTTGCCCATTGCTTAATGCAAATCTAACTCCTAATTGAAACCAAGATAGTAAGCTTTTAGTTTAACTAAAATTTCTTTAAAAATGAGGAAAATACAATATGCATTCTTGTTTGATTCTGTGATATACTTGATTACGAAGCTACATAAGTAGTACTGGGCTTTATAAAATGTAGAAAGCAGGAAGTAAAATGATAGGGTTTATTTTTATTCACAAGCAAATATCCTGTTCATATATAATATTAAGTGTTAAGTTTATACTTTCCTGTATAAAGCTAAATCATAAGAAAAAAATACTCTTAACATAATGCTTCAGATTTATTTTTATAAGCCTAAATACAGTATATAGTCATTTTTATAATGGTAATTATATTGGTTATTTATATATAATAGTTCACAGTAATGATTTAGTTTTTTTAAAAAATGCAATATTTTTAAATCTTATTTAAAATGTTTGAAAAGGTAAATCATAAGAAATGGACTCATAACATGCTGTAAAATTCAAAACATATCATGTATATGTGAAGCAAGTCAGCCAGTAACTAATAGAAAGATACTTACAGGGTACACATATTAATCCTTGGAGAAGTAACAGGCACCATCTTCAATAGAAATTTCACACCATTTATCCATCCTTTTTCTCCTTCATATTCACAGAATAAGTATGTGCATTCATCAGATGAGAACTGGTAGAAAACGTATCTGTCTAGAAAATATATCTGCTTATCCACTGTTTAAAAAAAAGAAAAAATGATTATATATATATTTAAAGAAATGGTTCTTTGCTGATTATCAGAAGTCAAATACATATATGCAATTTTAGTTACAATTCATCAAGTGGAAAGACCTGACAGTCTGTGTATAAACTTAAAAACTGTTCAGAGTTAGGGGAATATTTGTATTAGCGGAACCTCTTCCCCAAAAATTCCAGTGCTGTAGACTAGATAGAAAGGTAAAAAGCAAATATTCTGAGAATGGCATAAAACAAAGGGAAACAACACTTCCAAACCACTTCAAGACATAAATAACATGAGTATGTTTACATCATGTTTCTCAACCACAGCAACCTCCAGCATGCTGGCTGGAGAATTCTTGCTGTTGGAGTTCACATGTATTAAAGCTCAGAAACACTATTGTATGTTGTCAAGAAGAAGATGGCAAAGACACAAATGCCAACCAATTATTTCTTCACAAGCTTTTGTGTAGGTAGAAGCCAGTGCAGCTTTCCCTGAATAGCATTTGACTACTTATCACACTATCAATGAGTTATGCCTCCTTAAAAAAACATTTCGTTTTCTGAAAAACTCTTTCATGATAAACTAGCTATGAACTACCTTGTCTATTCATTACATGATGCTAATTAGGAGTAACATTATTAAAAAGCACTCTATTCAGCAAACAAAGCCATGTTAACTAAGAAACTATTCTCACAGCCTACACGCAAATGAAATGGTTCCATTTTGTAGTGTAGAACTTCCTCACTGAAAGGAAAAAATAAACTGCATACATATTTGGAGCATATGGCTGGGGGAAAATATGATTGTAACAAGCTATTACAGAAAAGTGGCTCTATTTTAGCCTGGCTTGAACAAAACAAAACAAAAATTCATGCAACAAATATTCTGATGGATGAACCTGCATTAATTATACAAGCCCTATGTTGTAAAAAAAAAAAATCTCCCATGTTAGAGAAGAAAAATATATCTTAAGTGTTTTTCAAGAGTCATGCTGAACTCATTCAATAATAATTCAAAGCCTTACAGAGTACAGTAAGCACAATATTCCATAAAAAGTAATGAAACATTACATTAAACAATTCATACTGAGCTACCTGAAGAAAAGATAAACAATGTAAAAAGATATAGAGGAGAGATGAACAAGAGGTTCACCTTGTTCATCTCTCATATAAATAAAGGTGCGTGGAGAGACCAGACTTAGCAATGGCTTTGATGTGGATGGGTCCATGATAAATGTGGTAACACGTGAAAAAAGTGTGGGATAATAAATGTGGTAACATCTAAACACAGATACACTGTATATATCAAAGCAATATATCTATTAATGGGTATGGATGTGCATGGCACCTTTGAATACAAGAAGCTGCCTTCCTCAAAGGGCCTTACTATTAAAAAAAATCATTAAAATGATTGAAGAGGAGGAAGAGATAAATAAGGAATGTATATTCAGTCAAAAAATATTTTCAAATACCATAAGCATACAGTGAAACTGTTCAAATACCATAAGCATACAGTGAAACTGTTATCCAGATTTTAGAAATTTAATGGAAGCAGCGTCCATAAAAAGATGATAAAAATAACCAGGATGATATATAGGTATATTATGAAAACTGGCATATACTGGCATGTATAAATATCTAGCAAATATATCTTTGCAATTATCTAGAATGTGAAAGTTACAAGTTGATTAAAAGGAGACTATTTTCAAAATAATATCCCTCTTTTTTTTCTAATTTCTTTTGCATATATTGTAAAACTAATGTTCCAATAAAGAGTAAAACAAGACAAATTGAATGCTTTGCACAACAGTTTGGACTTTCTACTGTAAAACTGACCTGAAAACACAATTCCCATATTCAGTAGTAGCTGCCAGATACCAACTGCTGTAGATCTGCTGTTAATGAAAGTACAGCACCTCAAAAGCCAATCTACCAGTTCAGATCCAATGCAACTTTGCCTAACAAAACAAAGACCAAAGTTGTAATCCTAAAGCATTTACAAGAAAATATGTTCAGTGTTCATTTCAGGCTTACATTTGAATAAAAATATATTGCACTTTGATTTATATCACACTGAAATACACTTACCTAAATAGAAATGTAGCATATATTTAATGAATCCAGGTGACACAAATGACGAACACGCTTTTATATCTAAGATTGCAGTTTAGTGTAATTGTGTTCACTCTAAAGATTAGTTACATTACAACAGGGGTGTCAAACTCGATTTATTTGAGGGCCGCATCAGGGTTGTGTTCGGGGGTGGGATTCAAATTTTTTAACAACTAGTTCTGTGGGCTTGGCTTAGTTGGTGGTTGTGGCTTGGTGGTCATGTGACTGGGTGGGCATGGCCTACTCAATGTCACTCACATTGAGGGGTGCTTCTCCTTGCCTGGCTTCTCATGACTGTGAGGATGCTACAACGGTCATAAGTGTGAAAAACTGTCATAATTCACTTTTTTCAGCGCCATTTTAACTTTGAATGGTCACTAAATGAACTGTTGTAAGTCAAGGATTACCTGTACAAAAATATGAAAAGCTTCTTTGCTTGCAAAAAGCTTCCCTAAATACCAATCATTAGATTAAAAATACCTGCAAGCCGGAGTTACAAATCAGGCAGGGTGCTAGAGCACCATGAGGAATTAAAATAAGTTAAAATGCAATGATAACTTTCAGCAGCCAACTCTTACTCATAAAGTGAAACCCAGAGGTCATTTAAGCTCTCCAGAAAGAGCACACCCAGGAAAAGCAATCCTTAGAACCATTTGCACCACTTAAAGATACCAGCTGGTCTCACTCACCTCACAAGATATCCTAAGGAAATCATCCAGATTTAAGGAAACGTCACATGCCTCTCAGAAAGGCAGTAAAAAAATCAGTGCCAAACTTATATTCTGCCTCTTGGAAGTACACCCCAAAAGGACAGTGCCAGATACCACTAAAGCAGTGAAGGAAGACCCCCTCCCCAGATAGAAAAAGAAACCATGAGTCAGGAAAAAATTAAACACAATACAAATAATTAAATCACAACAATAGCTGTTGCTTGTTAAACCAATTACCAGAACAAATAGACACAGGAACTAGCCAGATTTCTCAACCCAGTTTATTTTCAGGAACAGAGATTAACCTTTTTCCTTCCAAACAAAGCTGAATAGGGAAAGTTATCCCATCAATAAACACAGGATTAAACGTCACCAAGGACAGAATTAAACTTCACCAAAAACCACTTTTAGACCAAAATTCAGAAAGGGTTTGTAAACTCACGTTTGAATGTCAATCTTTCTAGCTAGCCAAGAAGCCTTGCTGAATGTCACTCATCTTGGTTCCTTGTCATTAAAAGCTCCTTTCTGGTTATTCAATTATTTGTTCAAAGTGCTGATTGTTGTATGTGGCTGGAAGTATATCCAGGGGAATATCTCCTCCCAACAGCAGTGTAGAAAGCTTTTTAAAAAAACCTTCTTCGGAGACAGTAAGTCTAGGCATACTGCCAAGAATGTAATAAGGGTGGGGAAAAAACAAAAGGAGATTTCTTCTAACTATCCGTTCTCCAAACTGCTTAGAAAGTTAACAAGGGGTTCTATAAAACTGGTCAGAACTGGTAGAATCCCACCCCTGGTTGTGTTTGACCTTTGGGGTGGGCAGGGCCAGGGTGAAATTACTTGTGTCAAGGGCACCTGTGGCCTGAAAACTCTGCCAGTGAAAATGGGCTCCCAAGTTTTGTTTTTGTCTGGGATGATCTCCTGCAGCCCTCTGCCAGTGAAAATGGAGCCCCCCCCACAGCTCCAGTTTTGCTGGCAGAAGGCTGCAGGAGGCCATCTTGGCCAAAAACGGAGCTCAGGAGGGCCGTGTGCATCTCTCCTGAGTTCTATTTTCGCTGGCAGACGCATTGTGGACCAGACTTTCACTGTTTCCAGGGCAGCCCCGCAGGCTAGATCTAAGCACCCCATGGGTCACATCCGCCCCCTGGGCCTTAAGTTTAACACCCCTGCATTACCACATCTGCCATGAAGTTTACATATTCAGAAGAAGTAGCTATCAAAACAGTCACTTGAATCTCTGTGTGGCTGCCATGAGACAATTTTATTAGAACAGCTGGTAAATTAAAATTTATCTAGAAAATGCTGAGAGCCCTAATGTGTTGAATTTTCTAGGAGCAAATCCCACTCTAAACTCTTTGCACAGGCCTAATAGCTACAGCTGTATTTATTGTTCTCCTTATAAAGACCCAAAAAGATATGGCAGTTGTGATTAGCTTAATTCATATATGAACTTCATAAATCCTTTAGCCTTAATTTTTTCTTTTGCTTTCTTTTCTGCATAATTTATACAACAATATCTTCAAGTATTCTAATCCAGTACCTCCTCATAGCTGGATAGTTAAGAGGGCCACAAGGAAAAAAAATGTCTAATTTGGGAATTTTCAAACTGTAGATCAGGGTTGTCAAATTTTATCACATCGCGGGCCTTACTGTGACATATCATGATTTTTTTTTGCCTTTGTGGAGTCGAGGCCTTCGCAGGCCATATCTGGCCCATGGGCTGCCAGTTTGACAGGCCTGCTTAGATCATGACTCAAAGCTTGAAACAAAGTCTGACATAGCTTCAGCTCTGCCTCCAGAAGTCTCATGGATCATTCAAGCCTTCCTACATTGTCCACAGTGTCTTTTAGCCCAAATTCACAAGGTTCATCAGATATTGTGTGCTGTGAATTTGGAATCGCTAAATAAGATTCCATAAAAATATCAGTTCCCTTCTGGTTATTTCTCATTGCCTTTTGTGTTTGTAGTTATAGGGGGAAGAATGTGAAGAAACAAGATTTCCACATGATTCCAGGCAGCAGCTATGCTTGGCAACAGAATTGAAAGTGCTTGCCCCAAACAGGGACATGTATTGCAAGAAAATGAGAAGAGGGAGGGTATATGTCCTACGCTGGTCCAGTGGTGAACAATTTACTCTGAGCGATTCATTTCCTTGATTTAGTACTGAAATGAAAGATGAGATGACCTAGTGCAAATATGCTTTTGCTGATTGGTCACCTATTTATTTGATCAAGTGAACTGGTCTGTTCTCTTTTTTATGCATATACACTGCACATACATTCTAGACACTAACTCACAATCAAATACTATGCTGTACTAAGGCAACAAAAATCCAGGTAAAAATCACTAAATGGTAGCAAAATATTAGACTTCTGAATCTTTTTCTAGTGCTTGCCCACACTTTCATAGCCCAGATCCAATTCTAATTCAGCTATCTAGCAACATTCAGGATCAGTAATCAGGTAGATGTGTTAAGAAAAAATCTGCTAGTGTTTACTGTTGTCACAGAAACCCTGGTTGGCTACAATCCCAATTTATGTATTTTTTTCTGCTACATCTTACTGTGAGCATTTCAAGGAAGGCTCTTAGTTAGCTGTAAAACCACTCAGCTTTGGGGGAGGCTAATGGCACATCTTTTAAAGCATTTGAGTGGTCCCTACCATTTTGGAAAATAGCAATACCAACAAATATCCTTTAAAGAGCAATTAAAACCTTCTTTGGGAATGATTGTTTGAGACACAACAGGTGTATACATTACTTGGACCACTGTCAGAACTTATTATCATTCTGCCTGGACAGGGTAACAGCTGGAAACTTCTGACAGGACTCTACTTTTGCCTGTGCAAGACTCGTGGCCTTGACACTCACATTTGAATCACTACCAAAATTAATTCCTGTAGTGCATTCCCCCATAGCTTGTCTATCTAACCCAGGGTTCCCCAAATTTGGCAACTTTAAGACTTGTGGACTTCAAAATGTGTTTCTTCATTCTAACGAAGGATTCTGCACTCTTTTTCTGCTGTATTAAATTTCTCTCGATTTAAATTGGGGTTTCACATTAATGATCAGTCTTCAAGCTGCAAATATCTGAATGACCACTAGCTGACAGCAAATAGATAAAGTAGAATCTTAAAAGTGTAGAACACAGACTATGAAAGCTGGATTACCAATAAAGCTGATTTTTTAAAAATGCCTTTGACTTTGATTCAAGACCATCTCACAAAAATTCTAGTATTTTGATTTCTCCAGGGAAGTGCTTTTAATTATGAGGTATGAGTGTGCACTTAGTGCACTTCGCAACATATTAAAGATCTGGAAATCCAACAAGATAGGGCTGATTTTCTCAAAAATATTTATTTGAGCAAACTCCCCTTTTAAAACAAACAAACAAACAAACAAACAAACAAACAAACAAACAAGCATACATACATACATACATACATACATACATACATACAGGTACATAATAACCATCCCCAAAATCCAAAAGACAGTAATCATAGCACACTGCAACACACTTCCTACAGCAGTTTTGGTGGGCAGATACCAAAAAGTACCATACAAACTGAGATTGGGTCCCTGTGGATGTAAAAACTTTTGCTCATGTCCTGCTACACTATATCTTCAATAAAGACTCACAGGATCAATTTATAACACCTTACCTAATAAATTATCTGGGAAAAGTTTATATTTTTTTCATGCAACTACTATTATCAGATCAATATGAAGTAATTTCTCAATGTAGCCAAATTCTGTAATGCTGTATATAAAATTAGGCAAACTTTAAAAGCCCACTGTTAATCCATCACAAATTTCAATATGTTATTCTGTTTTGTATTTACACAGCACATAGGAATGCTTTCAATTAAGAGGTATCAACTTAGAAAGAGATCAGCCAAATCAGAAATGAATGGTGACCAATTCAGATGCAATGCAAGTGAATGAAGGTGCAAGAAGAAATTATATTTAGTTAAAATAAGAAATACACTGTTACCTGCAAAGCCCCATCAGAGACATTCTATCTTTAATCAGAGCTGCAGCTTGTAACACAAAAACGTTTCTGAGGGCTCTTCCAGCACACAAGGCATCCTCTTCATAACTCTAAAGGAAGATAAATTGGACAAGACAATATTTTTTTTGTAGTTTGCACAGTTACATATAGCATTACAACTACATGAAAGTTGCAAGACACAGCAAACTAGTCAAGCACAATTTCATTAACCTTTTAAAATATGGTTTTAGTTAGCAGTAATATTAAAAACTAGCTCTATATACTCATGCTTTACTACAAAACTATGTAGTCAGACTTAGTTTTTAGGGAGGAAAATAAGGTGGGAAATTGTGCCTCTGCCTACCAGCATCCATTGGTATTCATCTGGCTGGTGTCCTGTCAGTGTGTGAGAGAGTTGACGGCTGTTTGGAAACTGAAACAGTATTTGCTGTGTGAGCAAGAAGGAGACAGCAAGAAGCCCAAGCATGGCTTAGCTCAACTGTTCTGTACTAAAGCTGCTTGGTGCTGTGAAACTGAAACTCCTCTCCTCTGCTTGTGTTTTGCATTTGGAACAGATTTATTTTCTGTAGAGGGAGAGTACAACTCCTTAGCATCAGAGCTTGTTAATAATAATATACAAAATACTAATGCTCTGGTAGTCATTTTGAAAAATCCTTTCTTAGTGAGCATCTAGAAGCCAAGAGGAATATACGTGCCAAATTTCAAGTTTGTAGTTCTGGAGATTTTGTGATGATGCATGACTGGTATTTTGCTTTTATGTATAGATAGATACAAAATAAAAAATTCATTTCACACAGCAATTCTGGGCACAAAAATAAAGAGCTGTTAATACTGCTGCATTTAAACATTAAATTGCTCAAAACCAGGAAAGAATGTGATTGGAGTTTCTATAATAATACAAATATAGAAGCAATTGTAACAATACCTTATTAGGAGGATTTTCCACATAAGGATTTGAAATTCTCCTAGATACATTCTGTAAATAAAAACAAGAAGTATAACAATAAGGAATAATTTAAAGCAACTAAGATAAATAAAAAACATTTCTTACCAATCACTTGGCACTGATATTTTGCCTATATACTGAGGTTCTTTTTGTAGCACTTTTTAAAATATAAGTTTAATTCTTCCCTAAATTCCAGTGACTTTTTGGGTCCCTTTAAATTGACAGGTTTTTATCAACACTTTTAAAATTAAAAATTCATTTACTTTTATAAATAGCTCTTCATTATTACTTTATAATTACTTTAAATTAAGCATTACCTTAAAGTGGTAAATGCTTCTACTTATCAATTAATTTAATTTTAGCAGTCTATTGTTTTAGATCCGCTTTTTTGTAAAGTAAAAAGATCATATGATTTTCATATTTTTTTTTTCTTTCCTCCTATCTAGGTTGCCTTCTAAAAGGAAGCTACCACTATTTCAAAGGACTGCTTAATATAATGTCTTTGCTAATAGATTTTAGTCACCGTGTTGTTACAAGGGCAATTGGGACCAGAACTTCTATCGCTAAGTGATGCAGTCCTAAAACATGTCATCATGTGATCGCATAACTTAACAACAGCAATCCGGGTACTACCTGTTATCATAATTAAAGTGAGAACTTCACATAACTGCAATGTGGGAAGACATACTGAAACTGCATTCCAGACAAGCAAGCCTATAGGTGAGAGCTACAGGCAGGTGGGTGCTGTTGCTGGAGCTACAGAATGCAGGCAAATAGGTGTTGTAGGTAGGCATTACAGAGGGAGGGCAGGAAATAGGAAGTATAGGCAGAGGGTACTAGAGAGTACAAGATCCCCAGGAGAAAAATGTTCTGACCCAGCTCCCCAAACACAACAAACCCTCTGTAGTGAACTCAAAGATTCCTTTATTAGAAGTGCCAGCAAAAAGTTTATCTCTCAACGCAGGCTAACAAATCCAGCCGGAAGATGAATAGTTGTCTGCCACATCTATTCATCTCCACCCCCTGCCTTTTATCCCCAGAGCTAGTTTTCTGTATCCTGTACAGAGATGGATTTATAAACTGTACAGATGCAGATAGATAACTCAACAAGATGTCCATAACAAAGTACATTTATTGGTTCATCAAGTATCCTCATAACTCACATTTGTGATGAAGTTCTTCTTTAATGACCAATCCTTTGTATATCTGCCTTGTAGGTAAAAGATGGTTATCTCCTAACCCGTCTCGTAGCTATAGAAAGCAGCTGCCATGAATTAGCGAGTTCAGGCAAAGTGAGGAAAAACTCCCCCAACCCATGGAGGGTCAAATTAGTGACCAATCGGGATTACAGATGTGGCCACGTGACATGAACTACATTTCCCAAGATACCTTTAACCATGATGCATTCCCTTAAGGGGACAGCTCATAATTCCTAAGTAACTATCCAATTCCCATAGACTGGCTGGGACAGCACACTCCCCACCTGGAATTATAAATTCCACTATTATAGGAGGAGAAAAAAAATTAACTATAAACTAAGATAAGCAGTAGAAAGTAATACCATGAATAGCAGATAACTACATTGCTCAAAAAAATAAAGGGAACACTTAACCAACACAATGTAACTCCAAGTCAATCACACTTCTGTGAAATCAAACTGTCCACTTAGGTAGCAACACTGATTGACAATCAATTTCACATGCTGTTGTGCAAATGGAATAGACAACAGGTTGAAAGCATAGGCAGTTAGCAAGTCATCCCCAATAAAGGAGTGGTTCTGCAGGTGGTGACCACAGACCACTTCTCAGTTCCTATGCTTTCTGGCTGATGGTTTGGTCACTTTTGAATGCTGGCGGTGCTTTCACTCTAGTGGTAGCATGATACGGAATCTACAACCCACACAAGTGGCTCAGGTAGTGCAGCTCATCCAGGATGGCACATCAATGCAAGCTGTGGCAAGAAGGTTTGCTGTGTCTGTCAGCGTAGTGTCCAGAGCATGGAGGAGCTACCAGGAGACAGACCAGTACATCAGGAGACGTGGAGGAGGCTGTAGGAGGGCAACAACCCAGCATCAGGACTGCTACCTTTGCCTTTGTACAAGGAGGGACAGGAGGAGCACTGCCAGAGCCCTGCAAAATGACCTCCAGTGGGCCACAAATGTGCACGTGGCTGCTCAAACGGTCAGAAACAGACTCCATGAAGGTGGCATGAGGGCCCGACATCCACAGGTGGGGGTTGTGCTTTCAGCCCAACACTGTGCAGGATGTTTGGCATTTGCCAGAGAACACCAAGATTGGCACATTTGCCACTGGTGCTGTGTTCTTCACAGAGGAAAGCAGGTTCACACTGAGCAGATGTGACAGGGTCTGGAGATGCTGTGGAGAACATTCTGCTGCCTGCAACATCCTCCAGCATGACCGGCTTGGCAGTGGGTCAGTAATGGTACGGGGTGGCATTTCTTTAGGGGGCCACACAGCCCTCCATGTGCTCGCCAGAGGTAACCTGACTGCCATTAGGTACCGAGATGAGATCCCCAGACCCCTTGTCAGTGCGGTGCGGTTGGCCCTGGGTTCCTCCTAATGCACGACAATGCTAGACCTCATGTGGCTGGAGTGTGTCAGCAGTTCCTGCAACACAAAGGCATTGATGCTATGGACTGGCCCGCCTGTTCCCCAGACCTGAATCCAATTGAGCACATCTGGGACCATCATGTCTCGCTCCATCCACCAAAGCCACGTTGCACCACAGACTGTCCAGGAGTTGGGGGATGCTTTAGTCCAGGTGTGGGAGGAGATCCCTCAGGAGACCATCTGCCACCTCATCAGGAGCATGCCGGCTTCCGGTTTTGCGCGGCTTCGGTAGCGGCAGGAATTCGCGCCTCTGCGATCCCTGCCACGTTCGCTGCCAAGGTGCCCCCGATCTAAATAGGTCTGGGGGCTATGGCTGCCTTGTAGAGGCAGCCGAAGAGAGAGGGGATCCGGACAGAGGTTTGGGGGTAACGCAGACCCCCTTTCCAGCCGGAATAACCCCTTTTTCCTGAGGTGGTGGAGCGGCGGTCAGTAATGGCCGCCTCAAAGAAGCCAGCAGCCGGGTAAGATTTGTGCTGGAGGAAGAGGGAAGAGCTGTGGAAGTTGCTTCTGACTGGGATAAAGTTAAGAGAAAGAGTTCCTGTAACCTCGAAGGCTGCTTTGTTTCTAGAAAGAGATACAAGCGGCGAACATTTTAAAAGAGTAAGGTTTTTTTTTTCTTGCCTTTCACTCTCCTCCCTAACGTGACAGCAGTGGAACTATAAGAGAAATCTGGGAATCTGTTCTGGAGGTAAATGAATATTGAAGGAGCAAGGATTTCTGAATATTCAAAGGGGAAAAAAAAGAAGAATTTCTTTTTGGCTGTGAGTGGGAAGGGAGAGGAAAAAAAAAATTGGAGCAACCTGAAAATAAGGAGAAGACTGCCTAAAACTTTAAAGAGTTAATTTTAAAGAGCTATTAAACAGCAATAAGACTTCCTAAAGATATATTTTAAAGAGAACTTTGTGATCAAACTTTATCCAAAAAAGAGAAAGTGGAAAAGAGAAAGTATTAAAAAGAATCAGCTGATTGGACTGTTTGATGACTTTGGATTTTATGAGAATTATCTCAGACTAAAAGCACTTGGGTGGTTGTTTTGAAAAAAAAAATTTTCTCTGTACAATGGCATCAGTTGTGGATGAACTAGAACTTATACATCAAAAATATGAAAGAGAAAAGCAAGAAGGGAAAGATGTCTTTGGCACTCTTTTTCAGTTTATAGAAATGGCGGTCTGTGCTTATGTAAAATCGTATGAGCAGGATAAAGAAGAAGCCATTTTTGAAGAACATGTGACTTTGGTCGGGGAAGAAAAGAAGGAGGAGAAAAAGGAGAAGAAGACTTTAAGACCTGGGAAAACAATCCAAAAAGAGAAGAATAAGGTGAAAAGAGGATATCGTGTTAGGAAACAACAGAAAGAGGGAAAACAGGATAAAAGGGAGGTGGAGAGACAAGGGGGTAAAGAGAATAAGGAGAAGAAGAAGCAAGGGAGAAAGGAAGGGATGAGAAGCTTTAATGGTGGGGAGCAAAATGCAAAAAAACAAAAATTTTGTTAGAGATAATGGATAGATTTTATTGGAAAAGGGATTCTAGAAAGGTACATAAGATTGCATTTTTATATTTGTATTTAGAAATAATTATAGAAGATTGGAATTAATATGTAATTTAAAATGTGATAAATATTTAGTATAATTTAGTGAAATTTTTGTTAAGAGAGGGGAGTACTTTAATGAAATAATGATTTAAGATCGGTGATGTGGGGGGGGGGGAATAATTTTGGAAAGTATAAGAAGTGTTCCCATAATGGTATGATAATTAATTGAAATGTGTAAAATGTCTAAAGATATAAATGATTGTTAACACAAATGATTAGGCTATGTTATAATAGTGAAACTATTCGTGAAATGAGAGGTTTGAAGAAGGAGAGGGGAACATGTAATGTAATAATGATCTATAATATGTGATGTGGGGGATGGAATTAATATGGCAAATAGGTGCTCCCATAGAAATATGTGACCTAATTGATAAGAAATGTGCTAGATGTTTAAGATATGAATAAATATTAATATTAATGAATAGATTTGTATTGGTTTTGATGATATTGTATAATGTCAGAATGTACCAGACAGAATCCCAACGTAAGTTATGTATTTTAAATCAAGTATTATAAATATAGGGGAAAGAGACATAGGCGTCATACTCCAATCAGTGTACAGGAGAAGGTTTTTCTTTTTTTTTCTTTTAAGAAGAAAGATAAACGGATAGTTGGAAATAGAACAGACAAAGAATAAATATTATGATTTGAATTGAGAGGAGATAAATAAAATAAAATTGAGAAAATTTAAAAGAAAGGAGAAGCTATATCGAAAAATGAAAATGTAATAAGATATGGAATGGTATGTAAAATGAATATGAATTTGAATGTGTGTCTGTACCAAGAGTTTTGACCCGGGATTAAGCAACTT